TGTTTATTTCTGTTATCGAAATCATGAGAAGGGGAGCGGTGAGGCCTAAACCCTAAACCCTAAACCCTAAACCCTAAACCCTAAACCCTAATTCTTAAACCCTAATCAGAGAAACAAGACTCACTGAGAGAGAGGGTATATGAGAGAGAGAGAGAAAGGGAGAACAACAGTGTGAGGGTTTCGCGCTGCAGCTGCGCTGCTGCTGCTGCTGCTGCTGTTGCTGCTGCTGGAATTCTGCTGCTGCTGCTGCTGCTGCTGCTGCTGCTGCTGCTGCTGCTTTGCTGCAGTGGGCTGTGCTGCGGCTAGAGAACGAACACGTCAACAACTCCTCCCGCTTCAGAGCTATCTTATGGGTGCGTCAACTAGCATGCATGCATGCATGCATGCACTTTGGGGCTTTCATGCAGGCTACAGCTGTGGCAGCTCTCATCGAGCTGCTGCTGCAGCAGCTGCTGCAGCTGGTGCTGCAGCAGCTGGTGCTGCAGCTGGTGCTGCAGCAGCTGGTGCTGCAGCTGGTGCTGCAGCTGGTGCTGCAGCTGGTGCTGCAGCTGGTGCTGCAGCTGTTGCTGCAGCTGTTGCTGTTGCTGCTGCAGTTGCTGTTGCTGCTGCTACTGCCTCACTTCATGCATGCACTGAGCTGCTGTCTGCATACGTTGCCGCCATAGAGAGGAGCGCACAAGCCCTTGCATGCATGCAGCGCCTTCTTTGGGGCTGGCAGCGGGGGAGTGTTCATATCTATCTCTTGAGGAGAGCAGCAAGACCATCGACTCTCTGCTTCTTTTGCTGCTGCTGCTCTGCTGCTGCTGCTGCTGCTGCTGCTGCTGCTGCTGCTGCTGCTGTGTCTTTCAGGTGCCGCCGCTGCACCAGACTCGGCTTGAGGTGCTTGAGGGGGACCCTCTTATACACACCGCCACCCCCCTGGCCATCCCCACCCCCCACGAGGCGTTGCTGCAGCGCGCAGCAAAAGGAGACAGTGCGCAGCAGCGCTCTCCGCAGGGGGCCCCCCAGTACAACGACCCGTAGGGGGGCCCAGGGGGACCACGGGGGCCCCCGGGGGGCCCCGGGGGGCCCCCACCAAGACCCTCAGGGGGCCCCCCCCCCAGGCTCTCCTGGGGGAGTATCTGCGTTAGAGAGAAAATGCAGCAGCAGCTATACTGCAGCAGCAGAGGGTGCTTTGGTTGTTTTCCAGCCCCAGTGTGTTGCATGCGCATGCGCATGCGCATGCAGCAGCAGCAGCAGCAGCAGCAGCAGCAGCAACACGGGGCTGGCACGTCGTCTCGCTTGCATGCGTTTCTCCGCATGCAACAACTTTCACGCCTCTGAGCATGCGTGGGCTCATGAAGCGTAAAAGAGGGATAATATATATATATATATATATATATATATATATATA